CGCAGAATTACTGCTACAAAATACCTGGGTATACTGAGTCTGTGCCTGTTGCAGTGGTTGTTGGATGGCACCAGGATTGTAGTACAGCTGCTGTTGCTGTGGATCAGCCGGGTTCACCTGGAATTGTACATTGGTTCTGATTAGTTATGGGAACAATCACGACTTTTCTGTCCCGTACTCCAGTCCTTGGGAGCAGTGTAGCTCTGAAAGCTTGACGCCTATGTGGGTGCCTCCCCTCCTCTCTCTCCTCCCTTATTGCGGTACGATGAAAGTTATGATGGATCAGGGTGGACCTATCGTTCAAATGCCGATCGTACGGTAGAAAAACGCTCGATTACTGTAGTACCTGTTGCTGGGCAGGTTGTTGCTGAGGAAACAGCTGTTGTTGAGGCTGTTGTTGTTGTTGTTGTTGTTGGGTATGCTGATCCACGATGTACTGCTGTTGCTGTGGGTACACTTGTTGGTAGTACTGCTGCTGTTGCAGCAGATCTTGTTGATTACCATTACCAACTGTGACTGTGGGTTGTAGATAGGAAGCCGTTGGATAGTAATAATACACGGGGGTATTAGCCATCGGATAGTAATAGTAGAGGTACTGCGAGTAGCTCTGTCGAACAGTGAGAAGCAAACATAACAGATATAATCTGAAAACTGTATTTGTACAGAACCAGTCGCAGAAAAAAAAACAATTTTCAAATTTTTTTCACTTTCAACCTACTTGTTCATGGTTGGTGCCAGGCTTGGAGTGAATAGCTAAGAGTTTTCCCAACTACCACAGTCTATTTATACATGTCAAACGCCACCGCCAATCTATTTGCAGAAGGGTTTCGGCGCTGTCGTCGAAGGATTTCAATGTGTGAACCCTGGGCGATCAAACGTACAAGTAAACCAGGAAACATGTGATTGGGAAAGGTCAAAAATCATAGGAAAGGCGGCCAGTAGCTCGGATTTCTCTACGGAAACTAAACGTATTTTACCGAGATTTGTGATATTTCAAAGATTTTTAAAATTCTCAAACGTTAGTGTCATCAATTTGATTTTAAAGTCAGAGAGTTTTCACTCAGTCAGTTTTGATTCGAGTATCCATAAGTTAATTTATTCATATACCCGAGAGTGCGGCGCTATTTCAACTATCAAGAAGACTAGTACGGGTCACAAAGGAGAGACAGGAAGGACAACTTATAGGTAAGCGGTGGAAAGCCCAGTAAAAAAAGGAAGAAGAGAGATAGAAGCAAGTGCAGGCTTTAGGAGGGACATTCGTTAGACCATACCGTGGTTCCCTGCGGGTATACATAGGAATACTGTTTTTCCGAGTGTTTTCCCAATCTATAAGTCTATAAGAAGCGGAACATTTCCGCCCGCTGCCCCACCATAGTTAACCATGAACAACGGAAAGTCAACCTCCTGAGGTGTGCTCCTCCTTTAGTTCGTGGTCGTTTGACGGTAATCGGATACGCCTTGACATAGACATACGTTGAGAATCGTGGTGACGTATTGAATGGTATGTGGCCAGCCATGTACGAATTCAGGCATTTCACTTCACATATAACTAGAACCCGGCTAGTCCAGTAGGAATTAACCGATCGCGGAGAAGTGGAAGACCTGTTTGACTTGGGCGGCTACCTATACGTGTTCCGTTCCTCGGACCGTTCCTTTGACAGAGAGAAACTTGCCAGTACACCACCTCCGCAGCGCTCTTTCATGTCAATCATTCTGGAAACTCGAACAAAAGCTCCCTGATACAAAAATTCACAAATTCTGACCGAAATCATTGCAAAAAATGATCGGTGATCGTTTAACTGATCTAAGTAGCTCGTTTTAGCGGGGCATTATTCCACCACTGCGTGAACAAACAGCGTCTATGTTGACCGAGTGTTCGGAAATGGCTGAGAGATAGAACTTGACAGGTTAAAGCGTTCTCAGAAGAGTTCAGCTCAACCGTCTTGAAATCAAGCCTTGCCCAGGGTGGTGGTGGAGCGAAAAACCGTTCTTGTGTTTAGGATGTCATCTACGTGCCTATCGTGGATTATGATGTTCAGGTAGGAGCGGATAGGAATAAAATCGAGCAGAATCTCCTTTTGGAATGCACCTTCGCGATCGACTTCCACTCAGAAACATAGCAGCGTTTTTAAATGCGTATTTGGCCTATACAGGATGGCTGAAAAGTATAGGACGCTTGCTGGCACCCTGCCAATGGGTATTTTCAGAATCTTGTGGGTTTTTTAGAAAGCTTGTGATCTATACAAGAATCCATATGAATCATTCGATCGAGCGTTCGCCCGAACAGTCGCTACGAAAGTTTCTGCGCATCGACCCACTATCGGGAAGCTGCTCAGAGAAGATTTCAGGAGCTGCGACATTGCGAAACGACTCGGTGTTCCGTCTCCTACTGTACGGAATGTTGCCGCTGCTCTCAGGAATCGAGGACGAGTCTCTGCGATGCCAAAAAGGGGATGACCGAGAACAGTGAACACATCGAGGATTCGTGACATCACCATGAAGAGGATCACCCGCAACCATGGAGTCAACATGAATCGGATTGCTTCTGACCTCAACGTCAGCCGTCAAACCTCCAGAAAATTGCGAAACGCAACCTCAAGCTGAACACTTATCGGCTCCGTCGATGATAGTTTCTCTCAGAGCAGTCCAATTAAAGTCGACCGATAAAAAACTTTTTTAAGAGCTCAGTGCGCGCCGCATCTTTAACGTGATCTGGACCGATGGGAAAATTTTCACCGCAGAACACTATCCAGTCCGTCAAAACCAGAGAAATTTGTTGTCAAAAGCTGACACCAGGTCCACAGAACATTGTTTTGTGCACAGCAGGCTATCATCCAAAAGTATTATGGTTTGTGCCGGAGTGACATCAGAAAGCAAAATACCTTTGGTCTTCACGACAGAAATGTGAAAATCAACTCCGAGGTCCACCAGTAGGTAGTTTTAATGGACGCTCTGCTACCTTGGGTCACTGAGCACTTTCGTAACCGAACATTCGTCCATCAGCAAGATTGGGCCTCTCCTCATGCCTCGAAGTCGACAAAAGCCGTACTGGACGCGCGCTTCCCCGGTTACTAAGAAAAAGACATCTGATATTCCTCTCCGCTAGATCTCAATTCAATGAATTTCTCTGTATGGATTACTTCTTGGAGAGCGAAATCGCAAGACGCTCCTATCGCACGTTGGAGCTCAGAAGTTCGCGCTTCAGAAGGTGTGGGACGATATCGACGTCGACTACCTGCGGCGTACGGTCGATTCAGTCATCGAGAGTCTGAAGACCTTGTAAGAGCAAAAGGATCGAACTTTGAACACCTGCTGTCCTAAGTGATCTTGTAGTTCTACTCTATTCCTCATTAAGTTTATTTGTCTTTCTGGTCTCTATCTTTGAAGGTACGCTTACAAATGTAGGTCCTATAGAATGACTTACGGTGAGCAGCCGATATACAGGTCAGTGTTTTATCCTCTCAGGCGAGACTGGTACCATTTACTCCATCCCAGAGGGATGGAAGGCTTGGCTGGCCTAGACGGACATCGATCCGGGATGCGAACGCGTAACCACGCGTATGTGATAGTGCGCTACTTGCCACTACTCCATCTCCGCCATGTTAATATATTGGTCTGTAATATTAGATTATAAGTTTAATTGTAGCTTGGTTTTATGTGATATAATAAATGAGGAGGATTCGGAAGAAAAAACAAATAAGTAAATAAAGTCGCTAAACTAATGGTGGATTTCGAAAGCGATGATTGAGAACTTTGCAAAGGTGTTATGTCTGTGGACGGTATTCTGGCTGAGTAAGCATCAAGTTCATCGAAACGGCGAAGGCTCAAATTTTGCAACAATTAACGTAGCCCTATTTCGACATCCTCTCGTGCCCCATAGAAATATCCGTGGAGTATACTAAACTAAACTATAAACGTTTGCGTCAAAAAAGGAGTAGTGTACCGCCTTTTACCGTACCTCATCAGTAAAAGGCTTGAATACTACAGGTGGAATCTGGTAATATTCCCAGGAGCTTTTTAAACAAATCTAATGCGGAACCTGTTCAAATTGATTGTTTGTACTTTTTTTGTTAAGAGAAACCCTGACAGGTATGTTATTGATACTCAATTTCGTTTATATGGAATAGCCTCGGATCGTATTTCATCTATTACGCGGCGTTGACAGTCGGTCGCAACCGTTCACAGCCTGGGCCATTCCTACCAGTTGACCATTACGGCCCAACCACCTCAACGTTCGTGCTTATGTAGAAATCTCTTGGATTTGCTACAAATTTTCTATCTTTTTCCAACCAGGGCACCTGATTGAATATCTTCAGGGAGTTCTGCGATTTAAGGGTTGTATTTACAGCTATGCCCTTTTTTAAGAACACGAGAATGCAAAGAACCATGCTTCTTACCTTATTGCTGTTTAGTGGACTTTCAACCCCAACTGCGGAAAGAAAAATTGCGACTAAATCGTTCTCTCGAACAAAACGTACCTAAACCTCTCTATAATCTTTCTATGAGGAACCCTTTTACTCCAAACAAGAGCATTTTTCAATCCAAAAGTCTCAACACGCTTTTCAAGGTAGCACTTCACTCCAGAAGCCTGGTTCCGTGTTCTAATCAAGTGCTGGTAAAAGCTTTTCTTTCTGCTATTGAGCCACAAAATCGGCTGATCCATTTTCTTCTCTTCTTCGTAAGATCACTCCATTCATTTCAAGGAAGCAACAGCTTTTCCTAATCTCACAAAACTGGTGAGTTTCGAACAAAAGTGAAATCTTGGGTAGGACTCGGATTCATACTTGTGCTCTCCGGGTTAGTGCGTGAGGCCATTAGAGGTGAGGTTAAGCAGGGTCTCAGTAGAGTAAGGGGTAAAGAGCACGCTGCTCGGAAAGCAAGTTTGGGTTTGGGAGTCCTGCCCGAGGCCGACGTTTCGTCCATAAATCACCAACGTTGTGAGACTTTCGGAACGCGTACTGCGGCAGTCAACAAAACATCAAGTTTAAGCTTCA